ATATAGTATATATATATATATATATATATATATATATATATATATATATATATATATATATATATATATATATATATATATATATATATATATATATATATATATATATATATATATATATATATATATATATATATATATATATATATATATATATATATATATATATAGTTAGTCAGAGAAACACCTTTCGAAATAGTAAAAGATGGCCTGAACATAAAATTTGATAAAATTAAATTTAGATATGATGCTCATAATTTGGACTAAAGGCAAAAACACAAATAAAACGTCGTTCTTTATGAGATCGTTTTCGTAACACGACAACATCATTTAAAAAGGCTGTTCGTAAATGGATGGGAAGTTGAACTGTATCGCTGCATATGAATTGCTTGGGCTTCTTTTGTTATAATTTTTTTAATATAAATAAATTAATGAAAATAATAATATGTACATGTATGTAATATGTTTCTTTTTTTTTCTCCTCTGGTATTGCTTGCGTCTTAGTTGTATATAACAATTAATATATGGCCAATGTAGGTTAAGTGAGAAAGTGTTACTTCTCTTTCTGTATTTTGTAATACAAGTCTAATAATAATAATTATTATTATTATTTGTATTAATATTATTATAAATGTACTATAGGTTTAGTATTAGTAGTAGTAGTAATAGTATTTTAGTAGATAACAGGGAAAGAATAACGAAGAAAAACTTATTTTTGGTATTTAGATATATGGTTGTATGTTTACCTTATTTGTAACTAATTTTTTCTATTCAATTTTGCAACTAAGCAACCAGTTGTGTAAATCTGTGGTATTGAAATAGTCCTAGTATTTTTACAGTGAAGAACTACTTGGTTTAATATGTACCTTCTCAATGACGCAAACCAAATCTATGACGCTGCCTACGTCAACGTGATGTTCCCCTGATCTGCTTCCCTGGATTGTCGCTTCCGGAACAACAATTTGTAAATTGACGAAGTGAGATGTCAATCCGTGGCTGTTTGATACCTGAAAAATGCAAAAATAGAATTGGGTTAAAGAGTCAACTCATAGTTACGGATAATTCCTAGCAAATATAGCTGATGAATCATGAAAAGCTTAGTTACTCTTATAAAGCTGATCTCGTTAAGATATATTATCTCTTGGATTATTGTTAAGGACGCCATTAAAAAATACATAACAATTTTTTAATTGGCTTTATTAATGTTTCTCCAAAAATTTCTCTTTAAAAAATTATTTTTATATTGTCCTATTGAAATGAAACTTCATAAAATCGTAAATAAATAATTAAATAATCCTTTGTTTACATACTATTTGAAGGGGACGCTGGACTAAACTTGTTTTGAATTTAACCAACAATAACTTTAGTCGGGAGCTCAAATGCTCGCGGTCAGTTGTCTGTTGGACTCTAACTAGCTTTCTTCTACTAATGTGTAATTAATAACATTCTAATACCAACTTTATATTGTAAACCAAGCTTGAAATTCATACCTTGATTTTTTTTCTCGTAATTTCTATACTCTCAGGTTTGTTTAAGTATGAATGCCGCAAAACTATACTTCGCCATTTTGAAACTTTACAATAAAGACTTTAATAGCGGAACGGGTATCTAAAATAAAGTGGCATAATATGATACAAGCAAGTTGTTCCTTAGATCCTAAATATTTTTCCCGTCGCACAAGGTACTTCGTAACTTAGGAATTAAATGGCATCGGTTTTTAATTATATTTTCTTATAAACTATTTTTGCCAAATGAATAGCTTGCGAGTAATTTCTGAGACCTGACGCGATTAGACTTGATTTTAAGTCACATTCATTTAAGATGTAGGCCGGATCGATTCAGTGTCATTTTTAGTCTCTTCAAATATAGAAATTGTTATTTAGTCACGATGTTTAACTGAAGAAGAAATTAAGTAGTATATAATAATTATAAAGTAAAAAAGTATGTATTACATTATAAAATAATGAATGTGCGATTTCAAATGAACAGCAAAAATGCTTTCTATTGTACATTAGTTTGGGTTTTTCACGAAACAACTTGGCAAAATGTGAAATGTCCGTGAAAATAAAAATCAGTGTGCACACTGAGATTCTTGTAAGTTAGTGTTCACGTAGGTCAACCTCATGAGTGCATTTACATTCTTTCAGTTTTTAGTCAGAAAATGGAACAACTGTTTATTGTCGAGCGCATTTTTGAGGAAGGCAACCCGAGTTTTCGGCAAAACCTCGGAAATAAATAAAAGCTGTTGTCGCCGAATACCGGTTACAAAATTTTTTGATACTTGTGTCACTGTATAGATTTCATGCCGTATAGCATTTTAATCCCTTTGAAAGTTTGTGGTTTTAACTGGCTTGGATGTAGTAATGAACAAAGGTTTTTTTGCCCTAACTTTGGATTTACCTTGTGCTTATTTTAGCCAGGGAATCCACTAGACGGCTCATAGTACTGAATCTCATTACCCTGTTGAGTTAGTTTAGTTGGTTCTCGTACATTGCAAACAGTAATTAATTCCCACTACAAGCAAACCGTAAAAGGAGCTGGACATCAGCTTTTCGATTGTAAAGTCCCGCGTTCTTTAGTGGGGTCTTGTGGAGACCGACATTTTTCATCCTTGTTCTCTATTTAAACTTAGAAAGACACAAGGACTCGAAACGACTCAACCCGCTACACAAGTTTTTGTATTTATGAGTTGCATTCTGCTTCGGCCACAAACTTTTAATTTAATATAACTCCTCTTTCACATTGACTTCAAAAATCAATTGTAATCGATTGCTATTTCACAAAAGAATATCTCCAACAAGTAAGCTTATATCATAATATGCCACAACTCTTAGTGATTTTGAAAAATAAACAATAAAAAAGAACATCGTTAGAGCAAATGTATAAAGAAGGTGTACACCGTGTGCCAAATAAAACGATCCACTATACGATCTGGAAACCCATAGGAAATACGAAAAAAGTTTCTTGGACTCTCCTGAAGATTTAAAATATTACAATTTTGTTTAAAATTAAATTAAAACTAAAAATTTTATTTACGCATATATCATTTACATTATTATTACAATATAGTTTAACCTAATATAAATAGTAACACCAACACTTACATTTGCTAAACTACCAAGTTTTGATTAAAAACAGTCATCTTTACTTTGCAATTAAAACTACTGAGAGAATCAGAAAATAAATCAATATGCTCGTTATTTGTGAGTAAAATATTTGTCAGCCTGCACATTCGATTCATAGGCGAGATAATGCCATAGTTGGTTATATAAAAATCAATATTAAAGATAGCCTTATTTCTTGCATTAATAGGAGAAATATGAAAACCAACAGATGCCAGAAGATCTGGTGAATCCATCAAGTTATTAAGGATTTTGTATAATGTAGCGATGTCAAAAAATATGCGCCTACTCTCCAAAGATGGCAGATTCAAAAGCTTCATAATCTCCTCGTAGTTTATATCCTCAAATGACATTCCCAATTTAAAACCTAACCCTCTAAGGTACTTACGCTGCACACGCTCTATTCTTTCCTTGTGAATTGCATAGTATGGTTGCCAGACACAGCTAGCATACTCTAAAATTGAACGCACAAGCGCACAGTACAGCTCCCTATACGTAAAGATGTTCTCAAAACCCTTCAAAGTCCGAAAAACAAGCCCAAGCAATCGAATAGCTCTGTTAGTCATAAAATCAATGTGATATGTAAATGTGAGCTCTGAATCGAGCCAAACTCCAAGATCTTTAACTAGGTTCTGTCTCTCGAGCGATCCAGAATTCAAATGATAGGTGAAAGTTACTGGATTTTTGGATCTGCTAAAGCTTACAATTTTGCACTTGTTTGTATTAAGAGTTAAATTGTTCTGTCTGCACCACAAAGAAAACCTATCAAGATCCTCTTGTAATCGATGACAGTCAAGAGGCGATGCTATAACCTTAAAAAGCTTTAAATCATCCGCAAATGCAAGAAATTGGCAAAAGCGAAAAACATTTTTTATGTCATTAATGAAGACATTAAAAAGCAATGTGGAAAGATGTCCCCCTTGTGGGACATCAGACTTCACAACAGTATCTAACGAAATGTAATTTTTAACTTTAACTGATTGCTTCCGGTTAGTGATATTACTGCGAAACCAATTTAGAAGGTCTCCAAAGATTCCCATCCCTGAGAGCTTTCTTACCAGAATGCCATAGTCAACCCTGTCGAAGGCCTTGGAGAAGTCAGTATATATAGCATCTACTTGATACACATTCTCAAAGGCACCCAACAGCGAACGCTCATAACTCAGGAGGTTCGAAACAGTTGACTTTCCCTTGTCAAAACCATGCTGTTCGGTTATAATAACGTTTTTAAAATGCAACTATACCCCCAAATATTTTCGAAAACAAGCAGATTTTAGAGATTGCAGTAAGCGATAGTTTTTTATGTTAGCCCTGTCACCATCTTTGAAAATGAGTGTAACACAAGATTTTTTCCAATATGAAGGAAAAACGCCGCAGCTTAGTGAAAAATTAAAAATTTTACATAAAATTTAGGATAGAACGAATTTACAATTCTGCACCAGTATCACAGGTATACCGTTGGGTCCCGGTCCTAAGGTTTGCTTTAAAATACTTATTCTATTGAAAACAATTAATACAGGGTGTCCGAAAAGTACCCCCTTCGACATAATATTTGTTATTTTAAATGGAACACCCTATATAATTCGGCATTTTTTGAATCCTGGGTTAAAATAAAGGTCACTTTTTTAAAAAATTCCTATTCGAATTTTGCGTAGTTTAGACAGAAATTGTGGTTAAAATTGTGTTCTGACGCTACTGATCCAGGTATCACAGAGAAAATTTAACTAAAGAGATGATGCACTACTCAACCAGTTTGACAGATGTACCTCAGCTTATACAGGGTGTCCCAAATAGGTGGTGCCGATTTGCCGCATTCAATTAACAAGATCTCAAGATTTTGAAATGGAACACATCCTATATTTTTATCCAGATATCAATTCTAGCACAAAAAATTAAGTAAGTTTGTAATTTATCTTATATTTAAATTTTATTTATTCTATTTTATTTATTTATTTGAGGTTTAAGAAAACACTCGTATAAATTCTATTTAAATTTAAAGCTGCCCACATCAGGTCAGTTGTTGGCAATATTCGGTATTATTTAAATAGCAAAGACATGATACTATTTCTTTTAAAGATATAATATTCTAGATATACGAATCAAACCTATTGCTAACAATACAAGCTGTTCATTAATACGTGGAAATTTTGAAAAAAAATGACTCTATACTACGCACTTTAACAGATTTAATAAAACTTTAGAATTCATATTTAAAGAAACATTTAATAGTATACCTAATAACAAAAATAAATAATCAAAATTTATATTCTAACTAAACAAGTTAATAAATTTGAATAAATAAATTTATATAAATAAATCTATAAAACAAAAAGTTAACTAAAAAGAGTTAATTCTGTCCATAAAGTCTCTGGCATCAAAACAAAAAAGAAATATTTTATTTGTATTTTATTTCTTGGTTACAATGCTGCAATATTCTGCTCAGGAACGGCTAAAAGTGCAGCCTTAGCATTAAGGGAGTATCAAAGTTTCCGGTGGCTAAAAAACCAACAAAAACAATATTTAATAGAATTATCCAGAACCTGTCAAATCACGGTGTTCTAAAATATAGAAAAAGGGAGAAACTGAGCACCCTTTCATCAGTAGAAACTGAATTCGACCCAATATATACATTATTTAGAATTTCCCGAAAATTATTTGCGAGATGCAAGTAGGGACGTTCACTTAACTATTTCAGCTGTGCGACTTATTTTAAAAGGCAAGAAAATAAAATCTTATAAATTTCTACCCATTCAATTTTTGTTTCATCATGATTTTGATGTCCGATGGAACTACATTTTGAGAGGGACATTTTTAACAAAATATTGTGGATTTTTACGACGTCTGGGATGCACAATAAAAAAATTGCTATTATTATTCAACAGAGAATAAGCTGTTAATGAAAAAATTAATAAGCAGGGCTATCGGAGTGTTAAAGTGTGGTGCGGTATTATAAGGGATAGAATTGCAGGTCCCATTTTTTTTTTAACTATTCAAACGGACAGAATTTTTTAACTTTGCTTCAATATACAATATTTCCAGAAGTAAACAAAACAACTTGCGAAACTACATTATACTTCAGCAAGATATTGCGCCCTTTCATTGTGGTCATCAAGTGATAAATTTTTTAAGAGTAAATTTCCTATAAAATGTGTATCGCAGAGGATGGACAATATAATAGAAATATATTACAGTATCACCAGTTAAGTTTTTCAATCAAGCTAGATAATTAACTATTAAATGTTTCTTTAAATATGAATTCTGAAGTTTTATTAAATCTGTTAAAGCGTGTAGTATAGGGTCGATTTTTTTCAAAATTTCCACGTATTAATGGACACCCTGTATTGTTAACACTAGATTTCATTCTTATATCTGGAGTATTATATCTTTCAAAGAAGTGGTATTATGTCTTTGCTATTTAAGAAATACCTAATTTTGCCAACAAGTGACCTAATGTGGTCAGCTTTAAATTCCTCAAGAATTTATACGGGTGTTATCTTAAACCTCGAATATCTTAAAAAGTAAGTAAAATTTAAATGTAAGATAAATTACAAACTTACCTTATATTTTGTCCTAGAATTCATATCTGAACAAAAAAGAGTGGAACACACTATCCACTTTAAAATCTTGAGATTTTGATAATCTAATTCGCCAAAACAGCACCACCTATTTGGGACACCCTGTATAAGCTGAGGCGCATCTGTCACACTGATTGAGTAGTGCATCATCTCCTTCGTCTGTGGCTAAATTTTTGTTGCAATACCTGGATTAGTAGCGACACAATACAATTTTATATGGGGCAATCAAAATATGAAAAAAAAAAAAACACATAACCTCAATTTCTGCCTAAACTATGCAAAAATCGAATAGGAATGTCTTAAGAAAGTGACCTTTATATTACCCAAGGATTCCAAAAATGTCGAAATATATAAGGTGTAAGACAACAAAGTTGATGTCGGGGGGTGGGGGGGTGGCACTTCTGGGACACCCTGTATCAACAAAATTATAACATTTTAAATCTTCAGGAGAGTCCAAGACATTTTTTTTTGTATCGCCTATGAGTTTCCAGATCGTATAGTAGGTCGTTTTATTTGGCACACGGTGTACATGAATTATTTATCATTTAACAACATTAGGCTTAAAAAAAATGGAAATTATTAAATGTGAAGTATCATTATAAATTCACATTTAATAATACTGTAAAGCTTCAGATTTCGTTCTTAAAAGTTCTAATATTACCCAGATTTATATTTTTTTGGGAAATTTTTGATGTCATTTCAAGTCATTGAAACTTGAAGCAGAGCTGCTTTTTAACGGGGGATGTGATACAGACCACTACGTCTTCGTAAGGTTAAATGTTAATGGTCGGATACAGATTTAACTAGCTTACTAGTCAAATACGTATGTTATTTTTACCAAGTTTTTATAAAAATTGCTCATAGCCATATTAAACGTTTGAGTTGATCTAGAATTCTTCGGACTACCATATGAGCCATCAAACTTGCACAGTTCGTAACAGTTACCGATGTAAAATATATAATAAGTAAATAAATTGTTTTTAAATTCCGAATAATGCTCGTTTATTATTTATTACAAGAAATAAAATACCAACAACATTTAATTTAAAACTGAATAAAGTGGATCAAAAATGCGTCAACAGTGTCGGAGACTTTGGGTATCACCTTAGATATTTCCTTATCGATTGAAGCATCACATCGAAAACATTATCATACGCGCCAATGAAATGCCAGGTTTTGCATTAAGAAATAAATTAAATACTTTCAGCCTCTTATCAACTATCTATAAAATACTTGTTAGGCCAATTTTAGAAAATACGCTAAACATAAAGGGAGTACTCAAAAAGTGCACAGGAGATTTGTAAACACTCTAAGTTACAGACATTATCTTATAAATAAAATTTCGGATTTTAGAAAATCGATTGTCTAGAAGACAAATTTGATATATGGCTTGTCTATAAAATTGGAAGTGAACTATTAGTAGCAGTGCAGTATTAACTTGGTACTCTACCTATAAGAAATATATTTGTTCATCTACTAGCTATTTTTCTATTTTTTCAATTATCAGATCTATATCCTGTGTCCTGAAATGTTACATCATTCCAAATTTACAGCTCCAGGCGATGTAACTGGTCAGTTCCAGAGTCCCCTTGGATGTAAATAAAATAAATCACATATCAAGTTTCAAGAACTTTGGGTTCTGATAAAAATAACAAGAAATTATTGAGATTATTGTAGGAAGGACCCTGACATAAAATTTTCTCGGAAATCCAAAAATGAAACAAAATACCGGGTGTTAGGGGCTGTGAGATACTTATGACATACTCTGTATAATGTCAACTGTTTTTATTACATACAGCATATTCAAACAACTGTTGTATATTTTTTAAAAAATAAAGTGTTATTGAGATATAAAAGGATCCCGCAGTAGCGAGCTACCCTGTATAATGCTCCAGTAGACTTAGAACGTTTACTATTTATACAAACGTGAATTTTGACGCTAAAAAAACACATTTCGTTATTTATTATGGAACACATTTCGAAGCAAAAATCCCATTTCTTAATGGACTTGGTAGAAAATATATTTTTAATATGGTCCGGACTTTTAGCCTAACGACTCGAACGTTAAAATTCAGAAACTACTTTCGGAGCAAAGTTGCTTATGAAAGATTTATGGATTGGAAAATGGAAAATAATGTAAACTCAGTTTTCCAGACGTACTTTCACGAAATATAAAGAAACAATAAGTCTCGTATTTTATGAGATCGTTATTCTCTCCTTCGAACGATCTTCCTTTGAAAGGGATGCATTTTTAAAAAGAAGCTCTTCGAAACCGATTTGGTTTATGGTAAAATTTAAAACAATTCCAAAAGCTTCAAAACTTATATACCGGTTACTGTAACTGTTAAACTGTTAAAACACTTCGAACACTTTTCGGAGCGCGAGCATTGAAGATGCCAAGTGAGATTTTGGCGAAACGTCTGCAGGATTCCAGTCGGATGCAGGATTTGCAGGATTCCAGTCGGATGCAGGATTCCAGTCGGAGTTCAACGAGCGAACGGATGATATCCCGGAATATAGTGTCATCACATTTTTCCATCCGTGAATCAATACGTGGGATATATATATACATACATATATATATATATATATATATATATATATATATATATATATATATATATATATATATATATATATATATATATATATATATATATATATATATATATATATATATATATATATATATATATATATATATATATATATATATATATATATATATATATATATATATATATATATATATATATATATATATATATATATATATATATATATATATATATATATATATATATATATATATATATATATATATATATACATATTACACCGCAATAACAATGCAGAAATTTAAAAAGAAATATTTTATTTATTTTTGGATTATAAATGTTTCGGTCGGTACATTCTATCTGATATTTTCTGGATGTATGGTTGAGAATAGAAACAATATAGCCAATGGGTCTGCTCAAACAGACCGGCACCACTTCGTGCCCTGCAGTTTTCTCATCTTCCAAACACAAAAAAGAAGAAAATGTAAAATTAACGAAAACTGCAAAATTAATAAAAAATGCTTTTTTTATAAAAACTCATTTTCTACTAAAAACGTTACAATATCATTAATCCGTTTATTAAATAGTATCTTGTTGGTTTCGTGTTTCAGTTTCGGATCGAAGATATCTTCTCCTTTGTCAGCCAATTCAACAAAATCGTGAGTCGGAGCGTCAGATACCATCTGTCCCAGCATTACAATACCGTTTAGTAAACCTAATTTCGAATACGTTTTCCACTGTTGCTCGAAGGTGCTGAAGGAATAGATGGCCTCCACATCACAGCCAAACGCGGATAAACTCTCCCCTAGAGTATTGTGATAGATGCCTAGATATTTTTTGTAATCGTAGAAGTCCTCCTTGCCCCCGTTAACATACAAGAAATAGCTTAGATCGGCTATGGGTAGATTCAAACCTACCATTTGCCAATCGATTAAGCGTAGTTGGGAAGGTTTGGTAGGGTTCTCTTCATCCTAAAAATATGATTTGATTAACATTTTCAACAATTTAAGAGTTGTTTTCCTTGTATTCATTGTCTTTTTTTATTTGCCCTTACCGTTATTTGTTTTTATATTAATTATTATTAATTTTTTTTGTGTATCTTTGCAGAATTCTGTAATTAATCTTAATGTTTCTAATTCGTGTTGCTTTATAATTGGTCTGCTCGAAACAGTCAGTTGAGTAAACCTACTTTTATAAATAAATAAATCATTCCAAGTTAAAAAAAAGATTTCGTAGCTGCTATAAAATGGACGGCAACCTCAAAACACGTTAGCAACATCGCTGGCTAAAATTTTGAAAGTTGCTATAGTGCAAGTGGTCCACGTAACTCACCATCCGATCTGAGAACTCTAAGTGCAACAAGAAAATGTTATATGCAAAAGTTTCCTCTATTGACTTATACTTATTTCGTGTAAAAGGTTGTTTAACTTTCCTATTAATAATAACGTTTATTACCTAATATGTAACAGAAAATACAGAAGAACATAATTGCTTGAAGTTGGTCCCGGTAAATAAATCAATTATCATCATCAACATAGATTTTTTAAATTTCATTTTAAATGCAAAAAGTTAGACAATTAAATTAAAAGATTGTGAATTAATATGACGATAAATATTACACGAGAACGATTTCCTGGTATTGTTAATGCTCTTTTACGCAAATTTAGATGATGCACTTCAGTTCTGAAAGTACTTTTATTATATAAATAAGGAGGAGACCGGTATATAACACATTTGAATGCAATTTCTTTAAACTTGTGGGATATTCGACTGTTTTTTTATATTAACAATAAATCTAATAAACTCGAAGTATCTAATTTTTTACTAAGCGATACTTCGATTTTAACAGAGATTGTATTATACATAGAATTAAGATGTATAATGCAAAAAGACACTATGGTGATGTTTAGTTGAACAATTTCTAGTATATTTTATATTTGTCATGTAAATTTAGTAGGGAGAATTTAACTTTTCTAGACACCGAATTTCTAAAACCTGGACGATTCTGCAATTTTACATATTCACCAAATGCAGCATTTCTAAAAACTTTAGTTCAATCTGCATACACAATTAATATTAATAATAGTATTATGTTTAACAGGCCCCCAAAAGAGAAATTAATTATACGATTATGTATAAAATATTATGTATAAAAAATAAAGTTTGACTTTAGAAATTAGAATAACAAAACGAGACTAAAAAAGCCTTTATCTGGTGTTGCACACGATATATTTTTTTACGCTATACACTGATTTGGTGAATTTGTAATGCTTTTTTTTTCTCTTTAAATCGGTGATTTTAGTTTTTCTTCATGCTTTAATTAAACTGCTGTGAGTTGCATCTTTTCTTATCTAATATTACTTAAAAATCTTCGAGCATCATTACAACTGTTGGTCTTTATACTGGGACACTTTGATCAAATTTTATTTATCCAAAGTGTGACGAAAGTCGAGTGCAACACATTTCAAAGAACATAATACAATTTGCTGCAACTTGTCATGGCTTATTCGGTAATAAAAGTTTTTTTCGGCAGGCCATTACGGCTTAAAACTAAGGAAACGTCAACGAGATCTTCACTAGCGACCAACTCTGGGTATTCTCCATTTTTTAGTCTCATTGCCGTCAGTAATAGAGAAGCAATAATCTCGCCACACTATGTTGGAGCACATTTTCAATTAAAATATACTAAGCGTTTATCAATTAATCAAAAAATAATCGGAAACAAAACTCCCGTTGATATAATACAAATAAGATTTAACTGGGGATTTCGACTAAACCAAACAATGAACGTCAAAATAACCAGCGGCGCGGCGTTTGTTTGCCGTTAGAATTAATTTCTGACGACCGGATTGATATTGGAAGTGATCGACTGTGATTGCGATATGTTTGATTATTATATATTTATTATTGTTGCGTTCAAAACCAATGCCGGTTGGTTTCCGCTCAACTACTCTTTTCAATCGAAATACGATACAATATTATTTACTTAGCTTTTTGTTAAAAAAAATAGTATCCAATGTATGCAGGTTGGGCTATAGAAGATACTCGGTAACTGCAAGAGCTCTGGAAAAATCGTTCGACAATTCTTTTTTTTCTAGAGGAATGGTGAAAACCAAACCTCGCTCGTCTAAACAGATTCTGAATATATAACTCATTATCGTCGTCAAACTCAATGGTCTATTAGAACTAAATATATGGCGCCTATCGCACCTATCTTTCAATCATTTCATTGAAAGTTGCGTAACGTTAAACAAAATGCAATATAATTTCATCTTAGTTCATGACATGAGACGATTAATACAACTGAATCGATTAAAAACTACTGTGAAGCTACAAGGTTCAGGAATGAACCATCGCAGAAAAAACAGGCGAAACTGTTTTTCGTTCATTGCAGTACTACTTTTCTGTTAATTATATAAAATTATAAGTTTATTTTCATTCCTCTAAACAGTAGGGAACAGCATAAGCGGCAATTTTCTTACAAAATGTCTTTGCCGAAACAGCAAATAAGAGGGTTTGTGAATAAATAAGAGTTTATTTGGGATTACCCTAGAAATCTTGATAACGAAAAGTATGACCACAAAACGTCATATGTACTTTTACTGTGTTTTAATTTTAATGCACTGATAAGTTAATAATTATATGCCAAATGCCAAAATAGATATGCCAAAGAAAATCCCCACAAATCGAAGAAAGAAAAATTGAAATAACTAACAAAAAGCTAGAGACTATAAAAAATACGTAAAATAGTATATTGTGCAATGGTAAACGTGATTTAAGTTTATTTGGTATGAGCGAAGGGCAGCGGAGCCAGTGTTTAATATCCGAGTGCCTTAAAAAGTTAACCAAACTTGTCGCATACTATACTTATTATATGACCGTTATTTTTTGGGTCCATTTTTCGAAAACAACACGAATATATTCACTAACATGACCGTCAGAATTGACAGACGTCAAAATTCAAGCCGTGCGGTAATATTTCCGAATGTATCTGAACAAACAAACTTGAGGTGGTAAAATGACACATCTCGCTAGATGGGTATATAATTAGGTATTTTACAGAAGGGATTAGAAAAATATATATAAAAAACTATATAACCAAATAGAAACTAAACTAAATAGAAAGAAATGTGTTGCCTAAGCTTTTAGTTGAAAAGTTATTAATGGGATGACTGATCTAAGTTGCAGAGGGAATTTAATGTACGATTTGATATCGTTATGGCAGTGACGTTAATACTGCGCTAAGTTGTACTTGGGAACTGAACGAATATTTGACCTTCAAGCAAGTATCTGGTAACCATATTGTCCTTGGGAGAGCCATCATATTTTGAGTTAAAAATAAGGGCTGCCATTTAAAATGTTTGACGCACGCGACTGAAAGACGCTCAAGAAAGATTTTGTTTTTTTAAACTAAGGCAAACTATTATCATATGAAGTATCGAACAGTATTAGAGAAACGGTCATTTTTAACTGTGTTTAACACCTCTCGTGTCATTTGATACTGATAGAGGGAAGATTAGTATTTAGTGTTCTATTTTTTTAAGAATAGTAAATCAGTTGTTAAGAATTTTGTTATAGTTTTCAGAGAAAAAGTAGTAATATTGTGGTGTGTGGGGGGTCGCTAATGATGTCTGAAATTGTAGTATCTAATAATAAAATAGACTAACATTATTGTGTATACGCACCAAAAATGAATGCGGAGTCCTCCGTAGTGTTAGTGGATAAAGTAATAAGAAGGTGGAATTGCTTGATTTCATTTGACAACTCATTGTAGTGTCAAACGTTTTTTCGTTGTCATCATTCTTTCCCGCTGCATCGTCATGCATTTGATACCATATCATTAAAATAATTTTTTCAAATCCTAGGCTGCAACCATAGACACATTTGGTTGGATGTGTGTGATTACAACCGTTATAACTAACGCAATCGCATTCGTAATCTTATTCAATCTGCCACTTGCCAAAAACCCATCCAGTTATGTAAAAACAAGATTGCGTTGGACATTGACATTGGTTTAGTGATTACTAAGTTTAGTTTCGAATACGATAAAATAAGATACGGTGATAATCACAGTCATCGCAATGTTATAATTTCATTGTTTATTTCTTTTATAATAACTTAATGCTATATGTATAGCGGGACTTGCAAAAACAATTATGTAACATGTTCAGTAAATATGGTATTTTTCAATCTAAAGTAATAATTATTTACACTGAACTTACGACGATGCCATGGTTCTAGACTAATTTATTCAAAGCCATAGATTGCGCTAGGTTTGTGATATGTGACCGATGGTAAATGACGAATGTCAGGTGGTATAATCTTCTCTTTTGACCTCTTGGTATTTGAACTTATCAAATGATGAGCTAGTAACACTGTTTAGGTAAGGGCAATATGAATTAAAGGATTTCCTATACTTGGTATTATGGGTATTCCATATGAACAAAATGACTTTTTGCCAATTTTGTGAATGGCGGCAATAGCAAGATTTTGTAAGCACCCTGTATATTGCAGAAATTATTATTCTGCAGGGAACCAGTACTTAGGTACTGCCGAATTGCCGGTAAAATTTAAAAATTGAAATTGAGGTCCGTTCTATTTTAAAAAATGGAAGTAGTCGCTACTTTTCCAAAGAAGCCGCATCACTGCGACATTGAAAACATGTTTGATGGGTAGAGGACCAAATGTTGAATGTGACCCAATGTTGAATAAGTTGTTAGGTTTTGTTTTCTCTAAAGACGTCTAATGTTGCTTCACTCTAATAAAAATTTTAGTCGGAGATGAAATCTCTTTTTTTATTTTGTTTACGAATAAGAGACCTACACTTACCCCCAGGTGATCAGTAACTATTCATACCTCATATTGAAACATTAAGTTGGCACTCCAGCAGTCACCGTGACTAACGACGTTATATCGAGAATTACTACAAGCTTCTTTGAATAGTTTAAGCCAATTTTTTGCAAACTCCATTACTTTCGTTTGAGTCTGCGGACTATGAGCAAGGGCTTCTATAGTGTCCATAAAAAAAGCTCTTTGTTTGTTTGGATCTTCATTCACGTCCATGAACTCCTCGACAACGCTTTTTTTGATCGGCTCCGTAATAGATGAAAACTTCTCGGGCTGGAGTTGCTTAAAAGCAAATGAAACTGAGTGGAATCTCGCGTATTCCCTAACACCTAGTTCAAGATGTTCAGAGTTGAGCGGCTCTTTTTTGTTGCACAATCTGAAACCACGTGCCTTGAGATTTTCTAAAAGCAGCACTTCCCTGTACTCCTCCGCTATCGACCCGTACAGTCTCGCTACGGACGCGAAAGGATTTAATATATGCCGTTCATTTTGAAACTCGTCGAATTCCGGCAGCAACTTTTCGTACATGTGGAGTTCGCGCAGAAACAGCTTCTTCACCGGGAAAACCTTCCTGAACTTTTCGCTGGTAGGCGTAAGTTTCAATATAAGCGTCAGGTTTTTGCCGGTCGTTTTCTCTACCGCATTAATGCTCTTTATGTCAGATAAATAACCGTCGCCTTTCTCCGAACCACCTGTTATTTCAACGTCGTAGTCTACAAACCCGTTCGTTTCGAGTGTGTTTTTAACTAATTCGTTCACTTCCGCAGATAAACTCTCCATCGCGTTGGTTTCGATTTACTCAACGTCTCAAATATTACTGGCGTGCCGCGAGGCCAGCGCGGTACTTAAATGCGTCATTCCAGTAGAGTAATCTAATTTTACACGGTGAGCGGGCTAATGTTTTGGAGATTTCTTCGTCGGTAGTTATTACATTATAAAAAAAGGTAGAAACCGGGTGTGAGAAAATTTATTAACTAAAGTAAAATAAGTAAAAGGGGCGGCGTAAACTGGAATCAAACCAGGTTTCAATAAAATTTTGTAATATTATCATTGACATGTTGGGTACTAAACATATATCACAATAGAGAAAACTAATAAAAAAAGACCGTATAGCAAATAACAGAATCGTATTCATTAGCGCCACCGTGAACTACAGGACAAACTAATTTTCTGGCGTCAGGTGGCGTGAAATTTGAACGAGCACAGTTATAATATAATTATAGAGAAAACTAATAAAACTGCAATACCAAATAATTAACGTCTCATCAGATCAAGACCGAAACGCATGTATAAAATACATACATACATGCAATATGTTGGCAACGCCTTACCAACCGAGCCCTTCTCGGTCCCTAGAATTAATCTTCTTTAGTTGACGTATATTTGGTTGATGTGATATAATAATTTCTGTTCTCGATGGCCTCAGTACTCGTTTAGGGGAATTTGTAGCAACTTTAGAATGGTACTCACCATAATCAAGGATGTTATACATTTAGAGAGATTTTCACCGTTAATGGGTTCACGTAGGACACATTGCTGCCTGTGCCATCTCTGTTGAATCTGCGGAACTTCAGCTTATATTGGAAAAAATAGATATCGCGCAAGATTGATTTATCTAACCGTTCCGAACAAGATCAGCGTCACAACACTGAAGTGTACTATGATTGTTCGATCAATATTTGTTGATCTTAGTCTTAAAATTTGGACAAAAGAATACAGTTGATTTTTAAAAATGAGTATTACTACAGTATTTTTTGGTTAATATTATCTCTAAAATAATAGATTGTACATAGATATGGCAAATATGGCGGTGGTAAGGAATTACTAGAAATTTGCAAGATAAAATGTTGTAGTTCGAATGTCATAAGTATTCAGAATATACATACTGCTTTACACAAATCTTACCTTAATTTTGATTTTTAAATAAGATTATAAAGATGGATGGCTTTAAAAAATACTCCCTTTTTTCAATTTTTTCTTGATCATCAATTTATTATTATGGAAACACTAATAAAAGTTGTTAAACAGACCTATTTATGCATAGAAACTTTTTAATTGACATTATAGTAAGGAATAGGGTCCGCAATTATTAGTGAAGTTTAAAAAAGGATTTATATGGTCTCTTATTGTTTTGAACATATTTTCCAGTAAATAGGCTTAATTGAAAATGTTTGTTTTCCTGTACCGTTTGATCGAAACATTAATTAACATTGGCCATAAATAGGTACATCTCTGAGAAATGGTTTTATATATACAGATATCACGCTGTTAATTTAATCAAAAGTCCATTGGGCTATTCAGTTAAAATATTTTTAAGATTGCGATTGTGATTATATCTGAAAAGGGGTCAAGTTGCTCATTTTGACTAAAACTGAATTGTTCAATATGCATTTTTTGTTGGGATCTTTAATATAGTCTGTCAAAACTGCCATTTGCGGACCCTATTTTCAATAATTTGAATAAAAAAGTTTCTATGTGGAAAAAGGCCTATTTAAAAATTTTTGTTAGTAATTCGATAATAATAATTAATTCATGGAGAAGCAAAAAATAACAATGTCAAATTGAAATCGAAATCACCTACCTTGGTCTCGGCGACTTGAATGACTTGTAGTAGTTGGTAGTAATAACTATTGATTCGTATTAGCCCAGGATCACCAGTAAATTTTTCTTCTTTTCCAAATTCGTTTTTGACACCTCTCTTTAAAATTCCCTCCTTTTTTAAACCTCTCTGTCGAAAGTCTTAAAGAGAGAGAGAAGTTAATAATGATCCACCGAGACGTAAACCAAACGCTACACAATTTTCTCAAAAACTAAACACAGCGGGGTAAGCTAAACTCAAAATTGTCAAATGTCAATTTGTGAGAATTAAAAAACTGGATAAACGTGTTTTAAAATTGCGAATACGTTTACGATTAAGAATAACGAATTTAAAATACGAAGTTGGTTCAATAAAATTGTTGATTATTCTTTTCAAACGTCAATTTATCACTTTTAGTATATTAAAATACATAACATTTTTAAATCTTTACTCGGTTACCACGAACCGAAAGCTACCTGGATTTGATGGATAATTATTTCAGAGTGACAATCTCTGTAGTAGGATCACTGATCACTGGTGCATCCTTATTAACACCTTTCGACGGAGAGGTTTAAAACAAAAGAGAATTTTAAAGAGAGATATTAAAAATGATTTTGAAAAAGAAGAAAAATTTAAAACGATTGAAAAAGATTTAAAAAGAGGGACAGAAGTTTTACTAGTGATCCTGGGCTAACACGAATCAATAGTTACTACTACCAACTACTACAAGTCATTCAAGTCACAGAAACCCCGTAGTAACTTTCTTTCATGATTAAAATTAAGGAATTTTTTGAGTGCTCGGAACTTTGTAGACGCATTTCGTATATAATATCCTATACCTAAGCTTTACCTCCACTGACATATTTTGAATTTTATGTCAAAAGTGAAGTTCGCAGGTATAACTTCTATATCTATCAATTTCTGCGACTGTTATATATTTAAGGTTGATTTTCTTATAAAAGTTGATCTAAAATAAAAAATGTAAATGCCAGTTTTTTCGTGCTCAATTAAATAGTAAGATTATTTATGTTCCCTACATATTCACGCGAAAATATCGCTAATCGTCTGCAGGATTCCAGTCGGAGTTCAACAAGCGAACGGATGATATCCCGGAATATAGTGACATCACATTTTTCCATCCGTGAAAAATGTGATGACGTGCAGACGTTTCGCCAAAATCTCACTTGGCATCTTCAATGCTCGCGCTCTGAAAACACTTCGAACAGGATTCCAGTCGGATGCAGGATTTGCAGGATTCCAGTCGGAGTTCAACGAGCGAACGGATGATATCCCGGAATATAGTGTCATCACATTTTTCCATCCGTGAATCAATACGTGAGAATATATATATATATATATATATATATATATATATATATATATATATATATATATATATATATATATATATATATATATATATATATATATATATATATATATATATATATATATATATATATATATATATATATATATATATATATATATATATATATATACAAGTTGTTTGTTTTTTGTGGGCAAGTAATATTACCTCCACCGACATATTTTGAATTTTATGTCAAAAGTGAAATTCGCAGGTATAAACATATCTATCAATTTCTCCGACTGTTATATATTTAAGGTTGATTTTCTTATAAAAGTTGATCTACGTTAGTGGTATATTTGAAAAATAAATAGATACAAGATGAACAAAAACTAAAATAAAAAATGTAAATGCCAGTTTTTTCGTGCTCAATTAAATAGTAAGATTATTTATGTTCCCTACATATTCACGCGAAAATATCTGCTGGTTTGATACATGGTGTGCCATACTTACCTTATTTTATATCTACGAATCCACTCAAGACGAAACTCGATATCAATATGAATACAGGCGACGGACGTAAATCGCATTATTTATAAACGATTCGCTGGTTCCTATTTTAAAGTCCTTTAAAAGTCATTCACATGTTCTGTATTTAATGCAATATATATATATATATATATATATATATATATATATATATATATATATATATATATATATATATATATATATATATATATATATATATATATATATATATATATATATATATATATATATATATATATATATATATATATATATATATATATATATATATAGATGGATTTGCGCACAATAATCCGTCCGAAACATGTACACGATGAATAATATATGCAAACCTACTTGGCATTCATACGTTCCATTATCCCTTTTCTGGACGTATTTTATCTGAAGTGTCCAATCGTCCGATCCTTCGGCGTGGAGAATTTGAAACCTCTCATCGTTCGTATACGTAAAAACTCCCGAAGAGAGAATGTGCCAATCTCTCCGTCTGATCCACGAAACCTGCTGAAAAATAAAAGAAAATAAGCTGAAACGTCATGGATTGACCCAAAACGCTACAGGTACACCGTATTTCGGTAGCATATGGCGGTTTCACCATTCAAAATCGGTTGAATTTTTCAATTTTTTTCAAGACACTAAGTGACAAAAATACCACTTTATTATATTATATATTATTAGAGGCAAAGATTTAAAACTTCCAAAACTGCATTGGAATTAAATTTAAAGTTATGACTAAAATGTGCGTGATAAAATTTTGAAAATTATTTTAAAGCATCGCGTTTTACCGTCTAGAATTCGTGTAATTTTTTTTATTGATATAATAATTCCGAACTTTGAGATTACGATTCGTCCAAAGCTCTTCTCTCTATGTCTGTCCCTAGCTTGTAAATTAGTAATAAAACTCATAACTCAAAAATCCGAACACATTGGGACAAATTAGCTACGTCAACTAATTCTACGAAAAAAGTTGCATATCAATGCGCTATGACCTTTTTAATACATTAGAAGACAAGCGATAAATGGAGGCGGGGCCTCAAAAGCTCAAATTTTCAGCTTTACTGAGTTTCTTAGATAGAGGGCTACGAAAATTTTTGTGGTATATGTGGTGGTGGTATCTAGTTTTATAAAAAAGCAGCAGTGTCGGGAAAATGAAAAACTGTTGAAAAATGGTTATCTGAACAGGGCATTTATTGGGTTTTATAAAATTCTGACAAAGATGCAAGTGTTAGCCTTTGTGAAATTTTGGTTCGATACACCTATTTATATTGGACACATTTTTGAAATCATCAGATTACGATTAGATTATTTCAAAAATATTTCAAAGCTAAAATATGTTATTTAATATTTACAATGGTTTATAAAAGACAGATAATTGTAGCGGTAGGATTACTGAAGGATTTGACAGTTTAGACACAGTCAAACAAAAACCGCTTATTTTAATTTCATCGCAACAACTTCCCCGTAAGTTTCAATTCGTATGATTAAGGTGTAAGCACCTAGTGACTATCATGTAGAATTGTAGCAGGTCAATTACAATTTCTCCCCAAAAAAATTATACAGTTTTATTTTGGACGTGAACATTTTAATATTTAATTTTATTTTCGAAGCAACATAATTATACAATAGTTGTAAGGTCAAAAATGACTTTCTTCCGTATTAATTTGTTGTGTATATGTACATGGTGTCTTGCTTCTATCAACATTGAAATCTTGAATAGAAACTAATTTCGAAAAATTGTAACTCAAACACAAGTAACGGGTGATAATAGATTTGAAGTACTGATTATAAAATTAACTTCGTTTTTTTTTTTTATAAAAATCTGACAAATACAGAGCGTTTTATATAAAATTAACGTTTAGTGTAAAAGTAACGCATCCCTGTGAAAAAGTGTCCAGCCTGTAAACCTAGAATTCTTTACAACCATTTATAAATATTAGCTATGTTTCGCGAACTTTGTCAAATTCAAGACACTAAAAGCCACGGCCGAAAATGTATACCTAAAACTTAAACTATAATAACTGTAGGAACAGATAGATCCGTACCCACGTAACAATGTTATTTCCCTCGGTCCTTGTCTTTTAACTTCAACAGTATTGATAAGTGAATGAATGCACTCACGCACAAATATTTTCTTAAAAAATATGCAGTCCATCGTTTTTACGGTTGCGCATCATGTTGATCAATTGTGTGTGGCTGTGACATATGGTGTCAGGTGTGGGAAATTATTGTTAAATTATCAAAAGCAGACTGAGTGGTAGCCTCGAACAAGAGGTTTTTGTTTTATTAACAACTCCCACAAGTCTACTGCTATAAAAATCCAATCCAAAATCCAAAAATGTCATAAATAGGGGCTTTTAAAAATTCAACTTTGATACTTTTTAACACTTTTGGGACAACCTGCATAGTATGAAAGTAAGTAGGATTTTACACATTTCAAAAGTAAAACTTGCCAACACAACTGGAAATACTTGAAAAGTTGAAACGTGAAAATATCTCGATATTAGTTCTCTCAATTAAATGCTACGAGTTTGCTTACCGTTGCAGACCTCATGTTTTGTGTATTGTCAAACATTTTCACCACATGATTTCCAAGTACAGCGCAGATTTAAATTTAAATAGAAATCGGAAACGTAAAAGCCACAATGTTTGCTTCATAATATTTCACCTTTATGTCGTATTTCCCACACAAGAATTTAGTCGTTTCGCCCTAAATCGATATTACCGTGCCTAGGTTAATCTCACGCAACGATGCAGATGGCGAGGCAGTAAGCAAAGTTAAACAGAAAAGGTCGTGTGTCGACTGAAAAAATTCTAATTTCCATGTAAATGGCGTTTTAATAAATTTATATATCAACCATCCACATTTTTCCAGGCCAGATGCGGCAACCAGATTGAGCTCATATCGCTTTATTACACCACACTAACGGACAGTAATATTACCTGAGAAAATAATTTTCATAACCTGTCGAAATGAAGTCATTTGTGTTCTAAAAGTATGGTAATAAAAAACCATTAATATTATATATTATACTGGGTGCCCTAGGAAGGTTTCAGAAACTGAAAAAAAGTAAATATGGCAAAAAATGTAGGAAATTATTAAAGAGGGTGGAGCAATCGCTATAACGACTTTTAAAAGCCGATTTTTAACACTAGTTAAAAGGAGTATTGGTTTTAAATCTATGATAGATTCATATCCTTTTTGTCCATTGCTCCTTGCTTTATTTCTGCAAGCAAAGGGGAGAGGGATCGTATTTGAACAAATTCGGCAATGAATGTCTTCTATTCGTGTTATGAGCGAGGTGATTGCGATTGCTTAGCTTATTACCGGAATGCGTTTTCTAACATACACAAAACAATTATTGTCTGAAAAAAAATTGAACGATATTAATTTCTTTCATGGCGATATTGATATTTTTTTCGTTCCTTTTCCCTTTGTAGTCGTTGGTGTTATCTATTTGGCATATTCTTCTAATGTTCTCACTCCTTTCTCGATAAATAAGTGTCCTCCCGGCTATTTTACGCATCACTTTTATTTCTGCTGTTTTCAGTATTTATCGATGTCTCTGGTCTAGTCTCTGCAGTGTATGTAATATAGATCTTATTATTATATTTTAGGTTAGGATAAATATATTAAAATGCCTTTTTTACTGGGTGGTTGGACCCTTATTTGACCAACTATAGATGCATGTTAGCGTACACGCCACAAAGTAACAGAACTTATTGTAATCTATATTTAAAACACATAACTGTGATCTTACGTGCACGGTACCATACTGCGATTGCGAGAAAATTTTGAGTAGGACCTGCTGCTATCTGCGAAATTTTCGAACGCTCTCTTGCCTTTACTACACGTTTGAAAAAACATAAAAATGTTATTTGGTTCGAGAAGTGAAGTGAGTGAAGAGAAGTGAAGTGAACTTCTTCAGTTTTCGAGACTTGGTGCCCCAGAAGCAGAACACCAGTAGCTAATGGTGAGTACCCTGTTTCGGTTATCGCCGTTGTGTGTTGCGCAATTGTACCTGGAATGGAATTATCCTTTCGGTTATAATGTTGTATATAGGGAATAAATAAATTCCAGTAAGCTTACAGTCTTTTGCGTACTTGAGTTTTCGAACCGCTGTGTGCTAACATATGGCCTTAATTTTATTTCTAAATGCGAAACTCGTATTTTTAAAAAACGAATTTTTATTTAAAATACAAGTAACACAATAAGTACTACAGCAAAGCAACTTTTAAGACTGTCTTATCCTATGAGTAGGGCGCGTCTTTATATTATTAAAGCAGCTGAATAAGCATATGCGTCATATTACTATCTTCTTATTACATACTCATCACAAGTGGAGATATAACTCCTCCCTCCTCAAGTTTGAGAAAATCGGGGTTGATTTTAGAGAGTTTTTATATTTTCAACATTAATTTCTTTTAACTGTAGTGGTTCGATATTTTGAACCAATTCTTCATTAATAACTATTGACGGAAGTTTTAGTCTGAAATTAATTACGTCTCCTTTTTGAGAGTCGTAGTTATTATTTTTAATTTTAACATTACACTCTGCGGGCAGAATTAAAGATGCTTTATTTATTATTTCAACATTTTGTTCATTTGGGCAATAAAAATATATATTTTCTTGGGAATTTGGGATAACTACAATAGAATTGTCACTTAATTGAGTAGCTGAGGTTTCTTTATATTCGATTGGAATCATCGGACAATGATTAGATAAATTAATTGTTTGCGGAATACAGGGTTCGTTTTTGTTAAGCAGGTTATTGGGGCATAAGGATATGTTCTCGGTTTTGTAGCAGTTTTCTTTTAGGTTAAAGAAATCGTCTGTCGATTTCAAAAGATAGGGATTATTTATAACGGATATTTTATTATTAATTGGTATGGGGTATATACGGTGCAGATCATAAGGCTTGTTAAAAATAAGAGGTATAGCTACGTAAAATAAGGCCATTTTTGATCGCGACGTCAGCATGCGCCACTTCGTAGTATTTAATTATATTATTAAAAAGAATTCGTGTTTTCGGGTTAAGTTTAGAGATAATATTCTTAAGTTCTTTGTATTTAAAAATGCTGTGGTGTATTACGTTTATTTCAGAGTTGATAGCGGTCTGCACATTTATTTGTATTTCATCGATAACGTGAAGATTGTTTTCCAGGTTGTCGAGTAAGATGATGAAATAGGAGGTTATTGTTATAGTTTGCGTCATTTTTGCTAGGTAGTTAATTTGGGCAAGTACATTTTGCTGATTATTTTTTATATTATACAGCTGAGCGTCTATGTCCTTTGTTAGCCGTTTAACGATCGAGTCCTCTTTTAATTCTTTTTACTGGAGTGGTATAATGATTAATAAAGGCTTTAATAGGAATCTCAATCTCAATAAGATCTAGGGTCCGAGTTAATAATAAGTGACCTAAGGGCGTATTTAAATTATTTAGGGTAGCGTTTTAGTACGATGTTCATTTTTTAGAGCAACTAGGCTTTCCTTAAGGGTAGAATG